GTGTGTGTATGTGACTAGATAGTTCGAAATCTGTATAGCGCAAATAGATCGCAACATTTTTATAGATCAATCATGTCTTTTTATTGTTCTATGAAAATCAGAAATGATCAATGAATAGATATATGTAATATGAAACAATCAAGTCAAGTTTACACCAATCATATTCAGATGTTTACTTTAGTTAAGTAGGAGAACATGAGTCAGATGAGATATGAAACATTCGTATAAAATACATGAATTACCTACTTACTTACTTACGCCTGTTACCCTCAATGGAGCATAGGTCGCAGAATAGTATTCTCCTACCTACTGTGTCCTGGGCCTCCATTTTCAGTTCTGTTCAATTTTTGTTCATTCTTCTCATGTCTGTTTCCATTTCTTGGCGTAATGTGTTTCTAGGCGTTACACTTTTCCTTTGACTTTGAAGGTTCTAAGAGAGGGTTTATCTTGTGATGCAGTTGGGTGCGTTTCACAGTGTGTGTCCTATCCATTTCCAGAGATTCTTTCTAATTTCCTCCTCCATTGGAATCTCGTTTGTTCTCTCCAACAGTATGTTGTTGTTGATGATATCTGGTCAACGGATCTGAAGTATTTTGCTTAGACAACCGTTAATAAATATTTGTGTTCTACTCAACCTGGAAATTTTCTACTGTTTTATATTGAATCAACTTAACATGACACACTGTAATTCATTGAAATCGTGAATCGATCAGTTTTTAGACCTGGAAACATTAGACAGCCATTTCATCCTAGTATAGGCCTCATCAGAAGTGAGCATCCATGACATCGCGTGTGTGAAACCAATCCAGAATCTATGGTTTCGCATGGAAACGCTTAATCTTTAAACAACTGAACTGGCTTCCATTGATGTTTTAATGTCTAAAACTTCAGTCAGTCTTACACACGTTCTTGCTCGAACTCATCCATTGTCTTCAGTGGATAACAACTGTCTCACACCTGACCTGATCAAGTGATATATTTTCATAGTATTATTAAAGATTCAAGAGGATAGAAAAATCTACAAATACACCATATACTGTCGATGATGACAGTTGAAATTTTCTTGCACAACAACTGAATTTATCATAGTTATTTGCTTTTCAGCACTCAGTGAAGTCATTTTTTTGTTTCATTTTTATTATCTCAGACAATCCACGAAACTTTCTATTATCAAAGTCACGTACAAAAATAATCAATGCGTAAAATACTCATTAGTTTAGAGTTGTGGAGATTGTTGAATCCGAATAAAATTACAAATCGATTTACGATAGACAAGCAGACACTGAACGATGGGTTTTTTTCCTAGTACGACACTCCTTATCAGTACATATTCACAACACCATTCGCGGTACTCGAGCCGAGCACTGTCGATGTCGCGCACGAACACTCAACCTCTTGAACATTGAGCCAGTATTCAAAGATGTTAATTTGTAACTTTAATCAGTCTGCAATATTTTGCAACCACCCTTCATTATCGTTTGTAGGCAACTTCCTTACACATCCTACACGACTAAACTTCACTACAGAAAAAACTACCCTCACCTATCTATGAATTAACACGAAGTTTACTAGTAAAGAACTATTCTAAAGATTAGCATCATTTAAATTGATTTTTAAAAAATTTCTAATTAATATAACAAATAGTTTAATGTGAAAATGTTAAAAAAAAAGTATACTTTCATAGAAGAAATTGTTTTCTAAATCTATACCAAATACATACACAAAGAATTACACAAATATACATCACCGATTAATATTTAAATAACTTTTTCCTTTTTTAAACCAGTAGAATATTTAAATTAGCTATTTTAAAATGTCAACATTCATGAATAGAAATAACTAATTATTCACTGAATAATATGCGTGTGACATCCACATGATTATCCACGTAGACATACTACTGAAGATCAGAATAGTAGCATATTCACAAATAAATAAAAAACCATTAAGTGAGTCTACTCATTATGACAATAATCTCTTTAGTAATCTCTTCAGTATTCAGTATTAGCTGTTATATTTGTTTTAATTATTAAATGGGATTAACCGATAAAGTCTTTCTCATAGTGATCAATTGTACATTGAACAAATATATTGAACAAATTTAATGAGCCGCGTTGCTACAAGTAATTATTTATGAATTTGGATATAAAAAATAAAGTAGCAGCTTATATTTTATCGAATGTATATTATTGGTTTAGTTAATCATTTACACATTGTGAAATGGATCATCCTCACCATCATCGAGAGAGAGAGAGAGAGAGAGAGAGCAACGGAGAACTTCGTACGTACGTATAGCAGTTCATGTTACCATACCACATTAGCACAGAGATGAAATTGTCACTTCAAATCTCATAGTAGTAGAGATAGTAGAAGTATTAGCAGTAATCGTAGAGATTAGGGTTTGAAGATATTATTCAAGAAGTATAATTCAATGAGATAAATTCAGAAGGAGAAAGATAGAGATTATGAGGAATTCAGAAGATTAGAATTAGAGAGAACACAAGGAATGTATGCACCTGCGCCATTGCAAACGATTTTGAGCTATGTGATTCGGGTTCTTTAACCATCGATTATTAACACCTCGCTGGCCTAACCAGGTAGCCTACATCAACCAACATGACTCAGTCAACTTGTCAGTGGTTTCATGGATTTGTGCCATGTTTTGGCCTTGCCACCCCTAGCTTTCTTCCAACCTACTCCTACACCACAAAACATAGCTCGTCGAGGCAGTCGGTGATTAAGTATACGTTACACATGTCCCAACCATCTCAACTAATAAAGTTTCATAACTTCATCTATTGACCTGCCATCTTTACCTAGTGCTCACCTATTTCCTAACAACAGAATTGCTTACTTGGCTCTGTCACGAATGAATATAACCTATATATATATATTATAAAATCGGACAGTTATTATTATCATATCGTTTTATAATTTACATAACTTCATCATTTCTAACATACACATATATAGTTCATGTTTCATTGATGTAGGTATACAAGTAATTTGGTAAAGGCAAGATAATATCTATATATCTACTATATCTATATGTATACACTAAAAAGATTTACGACTTCATCTCATTTTATTAATACTACTAATAATTACTACTACTATTACTACTAATAACTAATAACAACTGTTTTCTTTCTAAAATAATAATAATAATAATAATAATAATAATAAAATATTATTTTATATGAATCTCTTGCAAGAATATAATAATTATCATTATATTGAATAATAAATAGTAAAAAATATATGTACACTTCCAAAAATAGAAATTGGAGGAAAATGATCAATTCATTGACTTTTTGACACAGAACATGTACTCTCTGTCTGTCTCTATCTCTCTTTCGGGTTATTCATCTTATATCCTAAGAGGATTAGTTTTGTAAGTCTAATTCTATTGATCAATTCTTAAGTGGTCAATATTATGGTCGTCCGAACTGTCAATGTAATGGGTTCGTCACTTAGTACGCTTGAGGCTATTATGAGTTTACCTTAGTCGATAAACGCGAACGAGACTTTTACCAGCGTCCAGGTAGGCTACCTTGAATCCCCAAATAAAATAAGGAGGCTTTGTAAGCGTAGAAAGTATATTCTACAAACACCCAGCAATCACAGTACAATCAAGCATACAACTATCGTTTATTTATACAACATAGAAACGTTCTTGAGACAGTTAAGAAAATAGCACACTAAAATACACAGCAGCCAATCACAGCCATGGATTTTCCTGGTGGTGGGAAATAAAATCTCAAGGTCAACTGATCAGCCCATGCTGGCAAACGTGAAAACCAAAATAAGGCATTTATCAAGCGAGTTTTCGGGATCTAACATCCCCAACACATGTCAAGTACTTCAATGTTGTTTCCTATTCGATCATTATGACCTGGACCCGGATCTTTAGTTAGGGATCCTCATCCTCCTATGAATTAGAACCTCGTCCTTTATGGATGCTTGTAGAATACAGGTTCTACGTCATATTAAGTCTTCTTCTTTTTACTCAATATAGGGGTTGGGACAATCGGATTACAGTAGCCTATCGTGTCACCGGATCCTCGATACTTGCTCTCGTTTTCCGACTAAGGTAAACTCGTAATAGTTCAGGCATATCAACTGACGTGTTTACGTGCATGCGTAACACACACACTCTCTCTCACATACATATATCTGATTTACAGAACCTTATTCTCAATACTTTGATTTGAGGTTGATATTCAACTTAGTAATTAGATTTCATTATTTCGATATTGTGTGGTAATTTGAGTCAATACATATTTATCCTGATGTCTATATTGATAATCATTGACTAGGTTGTTTGATTTTTGAGTGAAAAAACTTTTTAAACGTTTATAATTTTATTTAGAACAATTACAAATACTTTTCGCTAGCACATTGAATGAGTTCACTGTCTAATTTTACAAGATTGTATGGAGATTCTCTTATGTTACCATCAAATGGAATTCAGTTTATTTTTTTTCTGCTAAAGTCAATCCATGACTTGAACTACTTACCTACTTACTTACTTACTTATGCACTTACTTACTTACGCCTGTTACCCCTAATGGGGCATAGGCCGCCGATCAGCGACTTGTTTTTCTGATTAGGGTTTTTTCTAACCAGTTAGATTTCAGCGGGATGTGACAGATAAGTACATTACCCAAACCTCCTCCTTTGTCCGGGCTTGGGGACTGGTATTAATTCTAGAATGGCTCCAGGTGGAGTTATAACGTGAACTATATCTGATTTAAGAAAACCTCGCCGATTTTTTTCATATCATGAAAGAATGTAGTTATATACAACATACTGTATAATTTGAAATTAAAACAAAGCTTGACTAGTTTCTTACTCACTAATCTAATGGTATGATTTGTATTTCAATTTTACTAAAGAGTTTACTCAGTAGATTTATAAATTAGCCATTCTCCTGTAATTTTAGAAACCTTAAAAGTTCAGATCTGTTTATTACATCAACACAATATTTTTTAATAAATATGCTAATAGGTGGATATTGCTTTATAAGTTATTTTTTCAATTACAGTTTTGGAAATTAGTGTTTTTACACATTTGAAATCATCAATCGATCATTGTTAGACCACCGTTAGAAACCTACAAGCATTGGATGGCCTTTTGGTTCTGGTATGGGACTCATCAGCAGTGTGCATCAACAACTCTTGCACCTCGCAGGATTCGAACCCGTGACCTTCAGGATTGTGCGCGAACGCCTAACCTCTGGACCACTGAGCCGGCATCCAATGGTATTAATGTCTAACTCAGATTGATCTAGGGATTTTGCGTGATCTCACCCATTTGTCGTTGGTAGTTACTGCCTACACCCGACAGAGTTGAACTCCTCTGGATGCTTTCCTCACAATGTGAGTCCTATCCATTTCCACCGCCTCTTCCTGGATTTCCTCTTCCCCTGGAATCTGCGTTTGTTCACTCTCATAGTAGTAGGTTGTTGCTGATGATGTCTAGCCAACTTACTGTTAATATTATTCAGTATAAATCAATAAACACTGACTAAACATAAATAAAAATGATATTTAATGTAAACATTACGTTCTTTTCCTTCGCTAAACTCATCTCTCTTTATTTATTTATTCCTTATTTAGATGAATATCATGAAACATCAACCATTCAATTTTATAATAAAGTATCACAAACACGTAAACGACGTAAAACACGTACAACATTTTCTAATGGACAATTGAATGAATTAGAAAATAATTTCAATCGTCAACGTTATTTAACACCGACAGATCGTGATCGTATTGCTAAATATTTAGGATTAACTAATACACAGGTTAGATTATTTTTTTTTGGTGATTATATTTTTCTTGTATGCTGACTTGCATGCAAGATCGAAGGTTCTGGGTTCGATTCCCGTAAGTAGTGGATGTTGTGAATGTAAGATGTACGCTACCTGGTTGGGGTGCGCGAGACGATAAGTCACCAATGGTTAGAGACCTTGAATGATATGGCTTAAAATCGTTTGTAGTGGCGCAAGTGCGTCTACTCTTTGTATTCTCCCAAATTCTAACCTTGCGAATTCCTCATCATCTCAATCTTTCTCTTTCTAACTGTATCTCACTGAATTATACTTCACGAAACATATGTTCAAACCCTAATCTTCTCCAATACCAGTAATACTTCTATTATCGCCATAACTATGGGATTTCAACTAACGATTGCGTCTCTATGCTAATGCGGTATGGCGACCTGAATTGATGTATGTACGTATGAAGTTCTGTGTTGTATCTGTCTGTCTGTTTGTTTGTTGTGAATGTGTACTACTGATGAGTAGTCCTATAATAAAACCAAGACAAAACGGCCATCCAATGCTTCTCTCCAGATTTCTAATGATGGTCTTATAACATTCATTTATATGTTCTGAAGTTCATTCATCATTGTTACTACTGTACAAATAGGCCTATTTGAGAAGGTTGAAACTGTTACTCTCTCACACACTCTCTATTTGATATTTGAGCTTAGTTTGTTAGTATAGAACGATTGTTATGTACTAACTAGTCTACCGATCTACCTAGAGTTAGCGTAGATTTTGTCCTTTATAAGAAGAATTTGCTAATCGTTTGTACTTTGGAGTAATTAAACAGTTCTCGCATTACATCAGGAATTAGAAAAGTCCTACTCATTATTTAATGAATTTGAAATATGAAGAATTTTAATTGTGACTGAAAAGAGAGCTTCAAATCTCTTTAACTGTTGACTGTTGGGGAAGTTCGATACCCAGAACTCGCTTGGTAAATGCCTTAATTTTGGATTTCATGTTTCCGAGCATGGGCTGATCAGTTGACTTTGAGATTTCATTTCCCATCAGGAAAATCCTTGTCTGTGACTGGCTGCTGTGTATTTTAGTGTGCTATTTTTGTGACTGTCCCAAAGACGTTTCTATGATGTATAAATAAACGTGAGTTGTATGCTTGATTGCATTGTGCTTGCTGGGTGTTTGTAGAATATACTTTCTACGCTTATCAAGACTTCTGTTTACAGCTTGGGATTCAAGGTAGCCTACCTGGACTCTGGTTCATTGTCTCGTTCTCGTTTTATCGACTTAGGTGAACTCGTAATAGCTTCAAGCGTACCTAGTGATGAACGTAACATTTTTAAGCCATTTTCATCATGAACTAGCATAAATAACTAACTTGTTTTTCCATATTACCAGTGGAAACCTTTCTTTGAAATTAATGCCACCACAATAGTATCGATTTATTCAAAATACTAATTCAAATTCAGTACTTTAATTATGTACAACGGAACTGTTAAACCTGAGACGGTGAAGAAAACTTGTAGCTCAGGTGGATGATGGTGGTGGTGTTTCATTCTCTAAGCTGGTTATTTTGGTTGTGGAGATTTTGTTGTTCTTCTGAACAAACAACATCATCAGCACAAACTTCAAATAGAAGTGAAGTATTCGAATTTCTCCACGTTTGACCTGTAGCTTGTTCTGATAACCTCGATCTATCTGAAGTTTGTGCTGATGATATTGTTCATTCAGATGAACAATGAAAGCTCCACAACCAAAATAACCAGCTTAGAGAATGAAACACCACCACAACTGTTAAACCTTTTACAAATAGTGATGTAAGCATGATAACTGCTGAATAGAATTACAGTTAGAAGCTAAATGGATAAGGGATTGATACTTTGTAGGTAAAAGTTACTGCGACTGAGGCTCAGCGGGAACATTACAATGAGGATGTGGAAACATCTGTCCAGTAAGTTCAAAATACAATCAAACATATTGGGTATTCTATTAACAAACGATTTTTTCCAAAAAAAACTCACTTGATTTTTAACAAATAATTTGGAATTTTTCTAATGTCTAGATAACTAAATATCAAATAGGAAAGACAAAGAATACACATGATATTTTCTAAAATGACAATCAAATCTATGCCATTAAACTATTCATGTTTGAGAACCTAATTCTATCAAAAGTAGACGCAGTATAAATGGGCTGTGTCAAGTAACAATGAGCAAGTCAACTCTAAACAGTATTGTTTGTTTTCGATTAACATCAATAATGAATCGATCACTGTTAGACCACGATTAGAAATCTGGGAGCAGTGGATGGACGTTTCATTAGTAGCGCACACCCATAACTCTTGCTACTTTCGAGATCCTAACTCAAGGAACTTCGGTCTTGCGCGTGAACGCCTAACCTATATACCACTGGGTCGACACCTAACGGTGTTAATGTCTAACTCTGATAAATCTAGTGATTTTACGCGACCTCATCCATTTGTCTTCAGTAGTTACTGCCTACATCCGATAGGGATGAACTCCACTGCTCACGTCTTCTCACTAGAACTCAGACAATTTCTTAACGAAGCTAGTAATTAGTGAGCATATTGAAGTATTCTTCAATTCGAGTTATTAAGATTGTTGTTTATAACTGAATTCATGAATCGATGATGAGTCCAGTACCAGGACGAAACAGCCATCCATTGCTTTCAGGTTTCTACTGATGATCTAACAACAATCTCCATAACTCTAATTGACGAACAATTTTTGTGCTTCTATATCAGAAAGTATATATATAATATATGGTGACAATATAAATCTATCAAAAACATATAATCTTATAAATTAAAAAATCTCCAAATATGAATATATTATTATTATTATTATTATTATTATTAGTTACATAAAAAAGTAACTACAATGTACATGGCTCCATTCAATATGCCAGTATGATACAATAAACAAGCCGTTTTTTCGGTTAGTCAACTGGTTAGTTAGTTAGTTTGTTTGTTTAGTCAAACATAATTACTTTTAAGCAGAATGAAAAAAATAAACAAGGATAACACTTGTGTGTGTGCCTGTGTGTGTACATCAACTCCTTGGCACATTGAATAAATCAAAAAATCAATAAACATCACATATTGAACATTGAATGCACAACCGAATGATCTATGCGCAAAACCACTCGACATATTAATTGTGTACAAACTGATAAAAATTATTATTTCAATGATCATTTATTGTATCATTACAACAACTTGGGTGATCGACATATAATGATATATAAATATAAATGCATCGTCTTGTAAATTCATCATAAATATTTTGAATAAAACTCAACAATAATGATTGGTTTCATTGTTTATAGGTTCTTTGTAAATCTCTACACCTAAGACGTATATATGATATATATCTATATAGATCACACTGAAAGAGAGAGAGAGAGAGAGAAAGCGACTGTAAGAAAAATGCCTTGATTATTTATGACTTATTTGTATTGTGTTAATTAATCGAAACATAAGAAATAGATTTGTATTATTTTATGATTAGATTGGTGATGTCCGACCGTAGCTGCTACCTTGATGTAGTGGTCAGGCTTGCCTATCGTCATGACTCAACCGAGCTATATTGGTTGGGACATATGTTCCTCAAGGTTTTACCATGCCAAGCAGGTCGATTGGAGAACGATGAGACAAAAAGCAGCAACTCAAGATCTGAGGGCAAAGTAGTACTGCCGACTTCAGAGGGGTGTGACAGTAGTAAGGTGTTTCCCTCGGACAAACAGCATCTGCAGCGATGCTGCCTTCTCACAAGGAAGGAAGGGTTAGAAAATGTCGACCCTAAAAATGTCACACCTCACCCTACCTCACGGATTTCCGTCTCCGTCCGTAAGGGTGCCCACTAAGGGATCTTAAGAATGGAGCTAATACAAAGAAAACCTTACATAAAAAGGCCGTGCGTGATCGGCCTCAAGCAGTTGTTTCCTGCGCTCTGCAGTCATGCACCAAGGTCTCTAAGACCAACACTAATCTATCTTCCTTTTTAGGTCCCTCAATAAACACCCTTCCACGGTGTGGGCAGCCGGGAAGTGACAACCGCCCTTATACCCGTACCAGATTGGTGATTGTTGAAATTTTTAAAAGAGACTAACTGAATAATAATTGGTATTTTAGAGAGTTGTGTAGAGTTGTGTGTGATCTACTCACTAGTGATTAGATTCGTGAGGAAATTCTTGGAATTTTAGTGAGAAGTCGTATTGGGTGTAGGTATTTATCTACCGAAGACAATGGATGAGGTTTTTGCAATACTTTGGATTGATTAAAATTGGACATTAACATTGTTCGATGGAGACTCAGTGGTTTAAATGTTAAATGTTCACACTCAAAACCGAAGATGCTGGGTTCGGTAGCCGTGTGTGGGGTTCGTTGATGCGCACTGCTGACGAGTGTGGTACATGGACGGAACGGCCGTCAGGTGCTTCTTTCAGGTTTCTAATGATGGTCTAACAATGATCAGTTCATGATTTCGATTAATAAACTACAGTCAATCTTCATTTGATTGTATGTATGTAGATGTGCGTATATATGTTTATGAAGAGAATAGGATAATTTCGATCCAGTATAAATAAGTAATAATAGTTAAGTTGTGAAAAATATAAGACAGTATAAATTTTATTAGAACACAAAATGGCTAAATTTGTCAGTATGAATCAGTAAACTCAATCTCACTAGTTTATATGTATCATGTTTAGTTTTATTTAACAAATTGAATAAACCTTGGTCTTCATATAATATGAGATTGTAAGTTTATGAGAAATCAGTCAGTCAGTTACAACGTAGAACTTCGTACGTACGTTCGTCAGTTCAGGTTGTCGTACCACATTAGCATAGAGACGGCATTTTCAATTCAAATCCCATAGTGGTAGAGTTAGTAGAAGTATTAGCAGTAATGGAGAATAGTAGGGTTCGAAGATATCTTTCAAGAAGTAGAACCTAGTAAAATAAATTTGAAAAGAGAAAGATAGAGGTGTTGACGAATCCAGAAGATTAGGATTTAAGAGAACACAAACAGTGGATGCACCTGAACCATTGCAAACGATTTTGAGCCTTGTCATTCAAGCTCTCTAACCATCACTTACTGTCACCTCACGGACCGCAATGTTATTCATCATGGAACTGTGAGGATTGTTAAGTTTCATTGAAATGATAGTTCAATGATGATCGATTCATTATTTCAATGAAACTTAACAACCACCGTAGCTCGATAATGAAAATTCATAAAATATGCTTACTAGTGACTAACTTCATGAGGAAATTCTCGAAGTTCTAGTTACCGATGGAGTTCAACCTTGTCGGGTATAGGCAGTTGTTACCTACTGAAGACAAATGGGTGAGGTTGTGAAATACCTTCAAATGAATAACGTCAGATATTAAAACCGTTAGATTCTGGTTCATTGGTTTAGAGGTTAGGCGTTTGCGCGAGAGATCGAAGGTCCTGTGTTCGAGGATCGTGGATTCTCACGACTGATGAGTCGTCCTGTACTAGGATGAAACGGCCCTCCAGTGCTTACTGGTTTCCGATGATGGTCTAACAAGGATCGATTCATTATTTCAATGTCATTCAGTAATAATGATAGCATAGTCACCTATTTGACATAATATATTATCTTCAGACAATGATAAAATATTGATTCAGTCTAGCTTAACAGAATGATATCTCAGTATTCAGGCATAAAGATGAAAGAAAAAGGATAAATTTCAAAATTGTGCATACCAAAAGAAGGTCTGAAAATTTAATTTGTTCACCTCTTTATGACCAATAAAAAACGCAGGTTTATTCACTGTCCAATGAAAAAATCTACTCTCATTAAAAATACTGTAATTTTACTTATTTAGTGATAATTTGCCATTTTTATTATTCTAATCATGTTATCTCATATATTTACTTCGATAAGTAAAGCTAAGAATCTTAGTTTTAACCTGTTTGATAATCATAATAATCTGTAGTTGAACAAATACTAAAAAGCTTCAGATAAAAATATAAGACTTGAATTTTAATAGGTACTCAACAGCCATTTAGAAAAGTGAATAATCTTTATATCTACCAGGAAGATATTTTTCACATGTTCAGATCATCGGAGGGAACTATTTTAAAGCAGAGAGAGAGTGGAATGATTGTTTTCATGTTGTGTTTGATACTTTTCAACAGAACTCATTAGATCTAGAACTATCTAACCTTCATGATCCTGACTAAGTCTAAATTGAATGTTAAAATTTAAAAGATTGCTTAATTTATATTCATAGTGAGACGTTCAGATTAGAATAGCCTGTCGTGTCGACGGATCACCGATCCTTGCTGTCGTTTTCCCGACTAAGGATAAACTCGTTCAAGCATTTTTAAAATGACGTGTTTACGTGCATGCGTAACTGAAATTGTGAATATTTTTCACTTATTTCCAGAAAAATTATCAGTCAGTAATATTGTTGATATTGTTAACATAAAACAGTGTTTTATACTCGGCCGACTTGATCGATAGAAGTTTTATTAAGACTAATTAATTATGTAACACAATATTAGTAAATATTAAGACATCAATGACCACCCTAAGCAACAGTGCAAGCATGTTCGGGATGCGGTTTTCCCCCTCGAAATGCAAAATGCTGCTTCAAGACTGGGTTGCATCGGCACCTGAACTAGTGATAGGGAGTGAAGTAGTCGAACGTGTGGACCACTTCACTTATATCGGGAGTCTCATCAGTGCTGATGGCATGGTGACTGACGAAATCTCAGCACGGATACAGAAGACTCGATTGGTTTTTGCCAACCTGCGTCACTTATGGCGTAGGCGAGATATCCGTTTGCTGACTAAAGGACGAGTGTACTGCGCAGTAGTTCGCTCCGTCTTACTTTATGGCTGTGAAACACGGCCAGTAAGAGTTGAAGATATTCGTAGGTTATTAGTTTTCGATCATAGGTGTCTTCAAAGCATTGCTCGTATATCTTGGGACAACCGAGTGAGCAAAACTGTTATTAGGAATCGGGTGCTAGGTAAGAATGGCACCGGCCAGACCAAAACATGGTAGGAAGCCATGAAGTCATTGACGAGTGGACTAAGACATGCCGGTAGTTGTGGACTACCTGGTTGGGGTCCGCGAAATGATAGATGGTTAGAGATGGTTAGAGACCCTGAATGATATCGCTCAAAATCGTTCGCAATGGCGCCGGTGTATTTATTCCCTATATTCTCTCGAATCCTTATCTTCTGGATTCTTCAACACCCCTAGTTTTGACGTTCTAAACTTATCTCACTGAATCATACTTCTTGAATAATATCTTCTAATCCTAACCTCTTCGATTACTTCAAATACCTCTACTACCCCTTCTACTATTGGATTTGAATTGACATTTATATCTCTGTGCTAATGTGGTATGACAACATGAACTGATGTACTTACGTACGAAGTTCTACGTTGCATATGACTGATTGACTGAGGGCATTAATTATTGTATGTAAGTTTTCAATTACTGCTTTTTAATATTACTTTGCTGACATCTTTGACTTTGGCACAAGTTTTTTAATCATACAAGAGATATCGGTCATATCAGAAAGTACTATCAAGTATTAAAAACAATGATTCATAGACTGTTAGTAATTAGTTTTAAACTATTTAACATAATCATATTGAACATGTTTCATTCCAATAAATCTGTCCAATCACAGTAATGTTTAAGTATCATTTTCTTAAGGCATTTTCCCTCCATAATTAACCACATTCACATTTAAGACAACTGAGTGATTAGAAAACTATTCATCAAACTATAATTAATATTAGCTGTGCAATGAGCTGAAGGAATGCGAGTAGAGTTAGTCGTAAAGATAAGAGAGATATTAGGGGGTGTAAGAAGGATTTGATTTTGACCAATTTGGTCTCGTGTGCTGTTACGGGTATGCGCGTTTCCGAGATGCAGCACACATCGATTGGGCGAGATTCTAAAGTCCTAGCTAATGATGCCTGTTGCCCTATTTGACACAATGTCCGTACATTAAATTCTCCAACATATAGTTTAGAACAGGGTTTAAGGAAACCAGGAACGACGTATCGTGAACTCGCATCGTTTGCATTAGCGGTGCAGTGAGCTGAATGAATGCGAATAGAGTTAGTCATAGAGATAAGAGAGATATTTTGGGGTGTAGGAAGGATTTGATTTTGACCAATTCGGTCTCGTGTGCTGTTACGGGTATGAGGGCGGTTGTCAGTTCCCGGATGCCCATAGCGTGGAAGCTTGTTTCTTGAGGAACCTGGAAGGGAAGGTAGATTAGTGTTGGTATTAGAGACCTGGATGCGTGACCGCAGAACCCAAGGGACAACTGCTTGAGGCAGGTCACTCACGGCCTTTTGATGAAAGGATTTTTGAGTATTAGCTCCGCTCTTAAAAGCCCTTAATGGGCACCCTTACCGACGAAGACGGAAATCCGTGAGGTAGGGTGTGGTGTGACATTTTTAGGGTCGACATTTTCTAACCCCTCCCCTCCTTGTGAGAAGACAGCATCGTTGCAGATGCTGGTTGTCCGAGAGAAACACCTCACTACTGTCGCACCCCTCTGCATTCAGCAGTGCGACTTCGCCCTCAGACCTTGAGTAGCTGCTGCTTTTAGTCTCATCGTTCTCCAAACGACCTGCCTGGCATGGTCGAACCTTCAGGAACATAAGTTCCAGCCAATATAGCTCGGTTGAGTCATGACGATAGGCAAGCCTGACCACTACATCAAGGTAGCAGCTACGGTCGGACATCACCAATCTAATCATAAAATAATACAAATCTATTTTTTATGTTTCGATTAATTAACACAATACAAATAAGTCATAAATAATCAAGGCATTTTTCTTACAGTCGCTTTCTCTCTCTCTCTCTCTCTTTCGGTGTGATCTATATAGTTATATATATCATATATACGTCTTAGGTGTAGAGATTTACAAAGAACCTATAAACAATGAAACCAATCATTATTGTTGAGTTTTATTCAAAATATTTATGATGAATATACAAGACGATGCATATATATATATATATATATATATATATATATATATATACATATATATCAGTATATGTCGATCACCCATCAATCATCAATCAATCATTGTTAGACCATCATTAGAAACCTAGAAGAAGCACTGAACGTCCATTTTGTCCTGGTATGAGATTCATCAGTGTGACAGTGCGCATCCACAACTTCTACACCTCACAGGATTCGAACCCAGGATCTTCAGTTTGGCACGTGAATGCCTAAACTCAATCCATTTAAACAAAGCATCATAAAATTTTCACAATAAACCAATCCCAATATCCATTCAACATGTAACATCTTTCCTTGTAACAACATACAATCTATTTTCTATTCTTTCCATTGAATAGGTCATCACATGGTTTCAAAATCGTCGAGCTAAATTAAAAAGAGAAGCAGAAGAACTTGAACGTGATGTAATGGCATTAAGGAAACAGAAACAACAAAAATTCACTTATCTTTCATTAACTGATCATGATCATGACGAAGCTGGAATCGATGATGAACAAGAACAAGAGGATGTGGAAGTCCACGAAGATGTAAGGAAAGAGCCGAACGTAGAAGAAGTAGGTGCTGGTGGTGAAGAAAATCCACATACAAATCAACATACAAACTATTTAACACCATCATCTTCAACTAGATCACATATAATGATACCTTCTTCTTCTTCTTCTTCATTAGAAAATTTCTCCTCTTCACTATTGAACACAAAATTCACAGACAATACACATGAAACATTGAATATGAATATGAATAATGCATTATTGATCACGAAATCATTGAATCCATTCACTCATGAATCCATCATCAATCATCATGTACAGTATGAGAACTATGCAAAAAATAATTCAAAACAATTTACCTTATTAAATCCTATTACTAATAATCTTAATCATAATCATAATCATAGTAATCATGTTAAAAAGTCTAGTAGTATTGATGATGAAAGCCATAAAGGCAAAACTTTTAAGAAAACAAATAAAATATGGTGTCCTGCTTTAGAATTGGAACAAGAAATTCATTAGATAAATGAATATATATATAGTATTTGTTTTGTTTTCTCGTGTGTTTTCTTTTTTTTGTTCAATCTACTTGAACACAAATCAAACATTGAACATTGAATTCATTCAAAGAAAAAACATAATCATCCTTTTTTTGTAAAGAGAATTTTTTTAAGAAAAGTGCACTACATAAAGAGGATGTACTTTTTTGAATAAAATATAACTCATTCATTCAATCTCTTAAAGTGATTGTTTTGTTTTTCAATGATTTACTGGATTGGAATAAGTAATGATAAGGTGAAATTTTGAAGTCAATTTTTGTAATAATATACATATATAATGTGGTGTGAGCTACTTATAAGTAGTATATGATGTGAGTGTCAACGTACTGTCTGGTAGCAGAAGATGGGGGTAGATCAAGAAAGGAAGAGTTAGAACACAATGGAATTTGTATGAAACGCATGAATAGTGACAACGGATTGATGTTTTGCAACAGGAACAGTCCAGTTCGATAGGATGAACTGATAATTTGCAAATGAACGATTTACGATATGGTTTTTCGATTTTACTGAGTCACTCTGTAATATTCGTTAAATACAATCCGGTTGCCCCACCTGTGTTCTCCTTCACTACAGTAATATTGATTGCTGGGAAGATATTGACTGGCATGAGGGATTATTGTGGTTGATGGATGAAATGTATCTTAGAGAAAACATTCATCCTGAATTGAGGTAAACCTACTTGAAAAGTTATCAGCAAATAGTCAATATCGACTAGATATTTTATTATATTCGTTGAATTTCTGAATAGAGGAGAAGTTTGCAATTCATTATAGTGTTTTTGGGATCGAAATCATGAATCAGTCATTGTTAGACCATGATTGGACAGCTTGAAGCACAGGAGGGCCGTTTCGTTTTTAGTATGGGACTCTTCAACAATGCGTATACATGATCCACGCTCGCGGGAGTCGAACCCAGGACCTTTGGTCTAACAATGATTGATTCATGATCCCAAAATAGAAAATCAATCCTCATAAATCTAACTGAAGAATAGTACAATGTGCGCACTAGTAATTAACTTCATGAAGAAATTATTGGAGTTTTGGTGCGAAGTCGTGCCTAACGGAGTTCAGCCATCTCAGGCGTAAGCAATAACTACCGGAGACGTTTGGTGAGGTTGTGAGAAATCTTTAGATTGATCAAAGTTAGACATAAACACTGTTGTATGTCACCTCAGTGGTCTAGAGGTTAAGCATCCGCGTGCAAGACCGAAGATTCTGGATCTGATTACTGCAAGTAGCGAGAGTGGTGGATTTGTACTATTGTTGAGTCCGATACTTGGACGAAACAGCCGTCCAAAGCCTCCAGGTATCATCTAATGGTGGTCTAACACTGATTGATTCATACTTTCAATGGAAGTCTGAATTTTTTAGTAGATTTTCTGTTAATATCTAGGATTATTTGCTTCTTACATATTTAAAATATAGATCAAGATATTTGGGTAGAATGTTCAGCGGACGTTTTTTAAAGTTTTGTAATTTACATCATGATCTGAATGTAAATGGTGAACCACTGAAAATTAATAAGCACTAGACGATTGTCTTGACAAAGTGTTGGGACCATTCAGTAATGAGTATGTAGTGAAGGAGAACACAGGTGGAGCAACCGAATTGTATTGAACGAAAATTACAGAGTTACTCAGTAAAATCAGAAAACCATATCGTAAATCGTTCATTTGCAAAATATCAATCCATCATGTCGAACTGGACTGTTCCTGTTGCAAAACATCAATCCATTGTCACTATTCATGCGTTTCATACAAATTCCATTGTGTTCTAACTCTTCCTTTCTTGATCTTCCCTCATCTTCTGCTGCCAGACATTAAGTTGACGCTCACGTCATATACTACTTATAAGTAGCTCACACCACAAATATACTAGTTCAATGCTAGAATGAAATGAAACAAATTATCATTCCTGGTTGTACTAAACACCAGAACTGACACAAGAAAACTGTAGACTTAAGTATTTCGGAAGCCATCTGAGACAGACCTAATTCTCAACTACAATTACAACAAACCAAGAACTCCTAGATCAACTGCGTACAAACATTGTACAAGAGAGCGAAGTCCTACTGCAGCACACTTGAAGCGCAAAAAATGAAGAAAAATATCCAACTACCGTCTCCCAAAAGAACGACTATCCACGCAACTTCATCAAAAAACATTAGCCGACATCGTCAACAGAAGCAAATTCAAGTACGGGAACCAGCAAACGGATTATCCTACCATACATAAAAGATATATCGGAACTTAGAGCATAACTACTGAGACCATTTGGAATAGTTGTAGAACACAAACCAACAGAATCACTTCAATCCATCCTATATAGACCAAAGGACAAGATGATAGAGGAAGAAAAACCAAATATCATCTACAAAACAAATTGCTCAGACTGTGAAAAATACTACTACATAGGACAAACTGGACGTCCTCTTCAGCTCAAACGCCACGACATTTATTCGCTTATTTCAATACATACGGACAACTATAGATAAACTTGTCATTGTTTGCATCTCTATTTTGATTGTATTCCTCCTTCGATCTGTTTTCTGATCTGATGTTTGCCTACGATTTTTCTGATTGGTTGATAAAGTGGGTTAATGTTGATGTGTTCGTGTATGTCTGAGTGCCAAGCTTCTAAAAATTCTCTAGTGTTCTTTGTGCTCCACCTATCCAGTATTTCCACATTGTTTCAATCGAAAGTATAAGATCAACAGTAACCAATCAAGATCGAGGTTAACAAAATAAGTTACGGGTCAGACGTCGAGAAATTCGAATACTTCACTACTTCTATCTGAAGTTCGTGCTGATGATGTTGTCTGTTCAGAAGAACAACAATGAAAGCTCTACAACGAAAAATTCCAACCCCGGAGAACGAAACACCACCACAATCATTCACCTGAGCTACAAATTTTCTCCACCATCTAGGAACGAAATAACTATCCGGTCTTTCTTAGTTTCCAGCAATAGCCTAGATACGGCAAGTTTATTTTGTAAAATTAAAATTTCCATAATTCAACAACAAGTGGACATTATTTCATCATATGAATTATTCAAAGCATTCATTAACTAACTGGATGATTGATTAACCGTTTTTTTCGCTAATCAATTGGAATCTTCTCATGTAATTTCATTGTTTCTTGCAGTAATTAAATAGTGAGTTGGTTTTAAAAGGAATAGTTAAAGTTATCAGGTTCTTTTGTTTCAGATTCTACTTAAAGAAACTAATTTTAATCACGTGATATTGTTTAAAAAATATCGATTATCGAATAAAATACACTGGTAGAATACTTATTGATTAACAATCAAAAAAGAGTGATCGCAGCAAGTAACCTTGACTAAATTAGGAGGGTTTTTTCTAAGTAGTATTCAGTCGAAACTCCCAACAAAAACGCTCACAACCAAGTGCATGCAGTTCAACAACATCAAAATTCAGAGACAGTTCATCGATTAAATCGTGAGATAACTGAATTTTTCAATTAGATTTATGGAGATTAGTGTTTTTTTGCACGTTGAAATCAACAACCAATCATTGTTAGACCACCAGAAGAAACCCTCAAGCAATGGACGGCCGTTTTGTTCCGGTATGTGATTCATCAGCAGTGCACATCCACGACTCCTACACCTCGCAGGATTCGAACCCAAGACCTTCGGGCTTGCTCGCGAACGCCTAACCTCTGGACCACTGTGCCGGCATCCAACGGCGTTAATGTCTAACTCTGATCAATCAAGTGATTTCGCGTGACTTCACCCATTTGTCTTTGATAGTTATTGCCCGACAGGGTCCAACTGCACTTGTCTCGTCTTCCTTCTAGGACTTCGAGAGTTTCCTTACGAAGATAGTCACTAGTAAGCACATTTTACGATTTTTCAATGAGAGTTATGGAGACTAATGTTTTTCTACACATAGAAATCATAAATCAATCAATCAATCGTTAGACCACCTGAAAGAATCACTGGACAGCCGTTTCATCCTGGTATAGGACTCTTGAGTGGCAGCGCGCATCCACAACTCCTGCACCTCACAAGATTCAAATTTACCTTGATGACTGCACTAAATTCGTTCGATTTCAATTTAATTATCTCTAATGTGATTATGTGTTCTGTGTAAGTTAAAAGCATACTGATTTGAAACTTACTAGATAACTCTGGATACAATTAAAACAAAACTACTCCTCCATTCTTAGCTATCTGTCCCCTTAAGTCGAAATGTATGGTCATAATTGATAACTGGGACAATTTATGCCTAATGAATTCCAAGACACGTTAATCAAACTAAGATATGTGATATTTACAATCATACTAAGCGAAAAACCACCAAATACTTATTTATTTGTAATTTATGTGAATTCACATAAATTACAAACAATTACTTTTCAATTGTCTCACTTCATACTATATATCTTTTCATCTTAAATATACATAAATACATAGATATTTTTCAAAAAAATTAATTACTTTTTGATTAACAACAATGATAATGAAACTATAGTTTATGTTAACAAGACATAAGTTTCAAATTGTTTCCATTAAATCAACACTCATTATCGCTACAACATCTCTCTCTCTTTCTCTCTGTGTGCAACTGCGTTGTCATACGTACTCCCTCGTACTCTCTCTCTCTCTCTCATACACACACAAACGCACACATATATAAACAAGCCTTCTAGCAAACGTCGATACTAAACTCTTATTCCAATGTAAAAATATCCAATTACTCCTACTGATTAGAATCTATCCAAGTTATACTTTATGTATACACTAACGTCATTGATATTGGTATACAATATATATGTATATATACTACTGATTGATAATAATTACTTTTCAGGCAGAGTTTTGGAAGTTTGTGTTTTTTGCACATTTCAAATCATCGATCAATCAATCATTGTTAGACCACCATTAGAAACCTGGTAAGGCGTTCGCGTACAACACCGAAGGTCCCGGGTTCGAATCCTGTGAGGTGCAGGAGTTGTGGATGCGCACTGTCACACTGATAAGTCCTATACCATGACGAAACGGCCATCTTTCAGTGCTTCTTCCAGGTTTCTAATGATGTGGTCTAACAATAATTACTTTCTCGAAAATTATTCCCATTTGAAGTACACACCCATCACATGTAGGAGAAGAGCAAGTGAAATGATAAAACCTCGTAGAGGAATTCATTTATTCAAAACACACACACACACAAAACAAATTTCACTGTTTTATTAACAAGTTAATCGTTTTTTCTTTCTGTTAGTTCTTCCGGATAATACACACACACACATCACATCATGTGATTATTAGACATTGAGATATTTATTTACAAAGAAGCATCAATTTCATTCAGTACTGGTCATCACTTGAAAAACACAACAAAGATAATCATCATCTACTTCGTTCCTTCGTCTTCGTCTTCTTCTCCTACTACTACTACTACTACTACCACTACTACTACTACTACTACTACTACTACTACTACTACTACTACTACTACCACTACTACTACTACTACTACTACTACTACTACTACTACCACTACTACTACTACTACTACTACTACTACTACTACTACTACTACTACTACTACTACTACTACCACTACTACTACTACTACTACTACTACTACTACTACTACTACCACTACTACTACTACTACTACTACTACTACTACCACTACTACTACTACTACTACTACTACTACTACTACTACCACTACTACTACTACTACTACTACTACTACTACTACTACTACTACTACTACTACTACTACTACTACTACTACTACTACTACTACTACTACTACTACTACTACCAGAATGTGTTAGTAACAGTTGAAAGATACAGAAAAAAAAGAGAAAAAAATTAACACCAATTGAACAAACAAGAGAGAAAAAAATAATGATTCTATTTGTAACCATGAATCGATGATCAATGTTAGACCACCATTAGAAACCTGGAAGAAGCACTGGACGGCCGTTTCGTCCTGGTATGGGACTCATCAGTGGCAGTGCGCATCCACGACTCCTGCTCCTTGCAGGATTCGAACTTTGATCGATTCATGGTTACCAATAAAACTTAACAATTTTCACAACAACCCTGCAATGAAATAATGATTCCGTTTTTACAATGCCATGCATGCATATATTGATTCAAATCGAGATATTTCGGACTGGTATAGTAGTAGTATATAGATAGACAAGATATATATATCACATTGTACACAATATATACTTGTGTTAGTTGACTTTATGCTTGTTATTTTTTTCGCAACTTACTTTCTTCTCCTCTTCATCCTTCACTCTCTCTCCACTCTCCCTCCACTCTCTCTCTCTCTCTCTCTCTGGGTAATATATTCTTCAATATAACTAACCAGACAGTGAAAGGATAGGAAAAAATAACTAATTATTTTGGAAATTACAATCTGTCCATACATCTACATATATAACTATATACACAGACTGTTTGAATACTTTCCTCTGAAGAAGTTAATTGTAATGCAAGAGACTAACTGACCTGTTGTTGTTGCTGTTGCTGATGTGATAATTTTTATTAGTAGTATTTTAATTATTCACTTCATATCTATCTATATTGCTCTATGTCTCCTCTGTATGATTTCACCTATCTACTTACCTATCTACCTACATACCCCTTTGTGTTAAATACCACTTCTCTGTATATACATACATATATAACAGATATTTAAGTAATTATATTATATATATGTCAAATGAAGTTTACATGAACGTGTAAACTGTTTTAAAAAAGACAAATTACTTACTATAATACAACAACACCTTTTTTTATTAATTATGTTTGTATAATTAATAAAAGCCAATACAAAGACTAAAAAGTAAAAGAAATTGAGATGTTATTTTGAAAATAAAATTATTATCACTATGATTGTAGTTGTAGTTGTAGTTGTTAGGGTGTAGTGACATCAAGAATCTGTTGTGTTGATTGCTTGTTACAATTATTAGTAGTATATCTAATCAAGTCAGCTAGCTCAGCAGGATTCCATGAAAAATTCTGTTTTGTTTTTTTGCAAAGTCAATTTTGTCTTTTTCAAAAAAAAAAACGCAAAACAAATTGATGCTATTGAAATTCGATTCTTATAAATAATTGAACATTTACTGTCTAAGTAAATTTTTTTTTTTAGGAAAAAAAACAAATCTGCTTTAAATTGTTTTGTGATTAGTTTTCTTTTTTTTTGGTTTTACTTGTTTAGTTTGTCTAATTATATTTTTCACTAATTTTATGTAATTATCATGTGTTGTCGTCTGTGGGTGTGTGTATGTTTGTTTGTTTAAATGTGTGAAATTCAACTTGGGCGCGCACGCACACTCGCGCGCGCATTTCGAATTGTTCTGTTTGAAAGAAGTGTAAATTTCATTTTTTTTATGTCAAAGTAAATTAGAAATGTGAAAAATCATTTTCATGTAGTTGTGGAACACATATTTATATATATATATACACGCGTACACACGCACACATATATTATGTCCGCATAACAAAACCTTTATATGATGTGATGCATAGACATTCTTTGTGATGACATGAATATATTTGTGTAATTTGTAACTTAAAACTTTTTTTAGTGATGATAATTACGATATGAATGAAGTATGGCGGATTTTGTTGTTGTTGTTGAAAAAATATCAAAAATTAAGAGAAAATTAGACCGACTAATTCCACATGACCAGTGAGTGGTGTTCTTCTTTAAGAGGTGAGAAGTAGAATTTTCAATGATTCAACTGTGTTAAACAACTTTCCTTAATTTTCTTCAACTGATATTATGATTGAAATAAACACACACACACACACAGCAATAACAAGCGTAATGATAATCATCATGACAAGATAATCTTGTTTATGTCAACGAATAAATTGTGTAGTGAATTGAAGTGAATTGAAGTGAAGTGAAGTGATAGGGAATTGAATTGAATAATAAAACAAAGATAAATAAAACCATGTGTATACTGTTTTTCACAATTAATTATTATGATTATTGGTATTATTAGTCGAATGTCGTCTCAATTTGTCGAAAATTGTGTAAATGCTTAGACAAATGAGAAAGTTTGTCACACCTACACACACACACATACACTATTAAATATCATATAAACTAAAGTATGTGTGTATTGTGTAGTTGACATTCACACTTTCTATTAATAAGAATAATCTGTATCATAATGAATATTAATGATATTCACTAGTTGTGGTTTGTTTTTGGCTAACTAACTAACTAAATAACTAACTAATTATGAGATATTGTAGAAGGGAAGGAGCGGAGGAAAAAAGTATGTAGTTTGACAGTTTTACTGTGAAAATCATCCCGAAAATCTCATTGACATTAATTATGACAATACTACATACTACTACCACCCTGTATTGTTAGTAGTAGTGTTAGTATTAGTAAAAAAAACATCAATTGTCATCATTAGACAGAATAAAAATGATGATTTTACAAATGGGATGTTGATCATTTATTTTGTTGTCTATTCATAGTGTAACAAAAAAAAAATAGAAACTACAAATATACATAGAGTACTTGATGAAAAAATAAAACAGTATCTCATATACTAGTTGAATTCGTCACTTCTAATTATTCTTACAATAATCGCTGTTGTCGTGAAAAAGTAAAAAGAAAGTGATACATGCATGAAAGTTATTGTAAAAGGTAGGAAAAAAACAGAAAGAAAGATGGCAAGAATTCATTAACTAAACAGTAGGATAGCGTAAAATAAATAATTTGGAGAAGAAACCTAAGGTTTTTTCATTGTGACATGAAAATGCGGAAGGAAATGGAAACTAATAGGAATATTACTAATTCTAATACAAATCACACTACTACTAATGCTACTACTACTACTACTACTACTATTACTACCAGCACTACTACAATTGCTACCACTACTACTACTACTACTACTATTACTACCACTGTGGTGTGAGCTACTTATAAGTAGTATATGATGTGAGTGTCAACGTAATGTTTGGCAGCGGAAGATGGGGAGAGATCAAGAAAAGAAGAGTGGGAACACAATGGAATTTGTATGAAACGCATGAATAGTGACAATGGATTGATGTTTTGCAACAGGAACAGTCCAGTTCGATATGATGAACTGATATTTTGCAAATGAACAATTTACGATATGGTTTTCCAATTTTACTGAGTAACTCTTTAATTTCACTACACTACTACTACTACTACTACTGCTGCTGCTATTACTACTACAGCTACTACTAATTAAAGTCCTACTGTAGTGCCTCCACATATATTCCAGTTCGCTTATAGCTAACTTGGTTAAGTCCTTTCGATTAATTTATTTAACCAAGCCATTTGTATTGCAACAATTTGTATGTACCATTCGTTCCTATTATTATTGTCTGGTTTGTATGAGCTCACATGGCGTATCCCACTTGTCATTTGACCTTGTCAACTATTGGTCGCTTTTATTCATGTGTGCCTATTTCGCTTGTCGGATGTCTGTCTGTCTTATATTTGTCTGACTATATATTTTTAGTCATGCTCTATCTCTTGGAGTTGGCTCATTAGCCTTCGCCAACGCGCTTCGCCTGTTCATTCGCTTCATTCGTTCGCTTGTAATCCTAGGAGTTGGCTCAACAGTCTTCTCCAATTCACGTTGCTTCATTCGTTTCATTCACAGCTTCTCCGCTTCGCTTTGTGTGGTGTGTCCCAAATAAACGTATTCAACACTACCAGTTCACCTTCTGATTTATAAACCGTCAGACGCTATTTAGTAACGATTGTCTGGACGAGCTAATTACCGTGCTTAAGAACACGGAAAATAAATCAACACACTACACTACTGCTACCAATATTACTACTACTCACACTACTACTACTACTACTACTACTACTACTACTACTACTACTACTACTACTACTACTACTACTACTACTACTACTACTACTACTAATATTACTAACAATAATAATAATCGAAATTGAATTTTCATATGACTTGTAATAATGAAATAAATTATCGAATGATAAATTTTTATTTCCCAAAAAATAACTGGATGGAAAATTTAAACTGATATAGCAATTACTGAATATTTGTATTCAAGTTTGTGCGTTTAACTTATATGTAAACACTCACACACACACACACACACACCCAAACACACAATAAACCTGATATTATTATCGGTCTGCAAATATGACTTATTTGAACAAATTTCATTTGCGTAGTATGGACTCTTTTTTAAGAATAAAAAGTAGTTAAGATTCTGTGATAGATGAATTCATAAATAAGAGATTATTAAGATTATTATTATTATTATTATAATGTCCCGCGAACATTTAAACTTTTAAAAGACATTATCATCGCCATAAGAACACAATAAATCAATCAATGTTTTGAATAATTTTTTTTTCACAAGAAGAAGAAAAAATTCGAATGTGCAATGAAAATTCAATTTATTCCGCGAAATCGACAATAAATTTTGAAGAGATTGAGGGGAAAAAATAATGACATTTTATGAAATTTTGAATGTAATTAGTAATATGAAAATTCACTTTTTAAATTAGTGAAGGAAATTGGTTTTGTTAGTTTGTTGATCAATTGAATGATGATAAATGTGTTGACTTCTGTATTGTTCAGACTGAAATAAATTAATCAGTATATTGCCGAAATCATGAATCAATCATTATTAGACCGTCATCAGAGGCCTATAAGCACTGAACGGTTGTTTCATCCTGGTATGGGATTCATCAGTGGCAGTGCACATCCACAACTCATGCTAATCGCGAAATTCGAACCTAACACTTTCAGTTTTGAGCTCGAACGCCTAACCTTTG